ATAATACATTTTAAATTAGATGATATTATAAAATATTTTGGATTGTTATTATTTATATAATAAAATAATTATAAAATATTGTTGATATATAATATTATAGTTAGTTAAGTTGTAATAACTTGAATTTTTTTAGTAGATTAGGGTTTTCCGCCAATTCGATATTTTAGTGGCCAATTTTTCATCGATTTAGTCAACTCTTTATTGTAGTCCATATATGATTATATATTTAATCCATGATAGTTCTATGATTTCTTTTGTGTGATGTAAATTTAATGGTCAACATAAGTTCATACAGGGAAATAACATCTCAATATTCATAAATTGATGAAAACAATGAAATTTAATAATATAGTATCCCAATTTCTTATTGGATTCATAAAAAATAACATTTATAATGAATTTTAATAATTTTTTTAAATTTTTTTAAAGCTTAATCCGAGCGATTCGGCCTTATTCTCGTTTCAGATCGAAAATTCACCGATCTGAATCGGTTTTTGAGATACCCGATCCGACACACCAATCCGTTTTTTAAACCACTGGTGTTGATTAATTTCGGTGATCTGAATTGGAAATTATCAGATTTTAAAACAAATGAGTATAAGTGAACGGGCGTTATTTTGGTCATTAAGTGCTATTTTGATCTAAAGTTTGGACGGCCTGAGATTCTCTTGCTCACAACCATTCCATCTAATCCTGATCGCACGGTTTTCATCAAAACAAATTCAAAAACATCAACGGTACTTTAGACCGTTGGACAGGGAAAAGCCACAACACACCGCTCCGTCTCTCCGTCCCATTCCCTTCTTCCTCTTTCTTTCTTTCTCTCTCTACCTCCTTCTCCTGTTCTCTGTCTAGGGTTTCAACGAAACCTGCATCTGCCATTGTAGCTCTATCCTTCAACTCGTGTTACTATTCTTCTTCTTGTATTTCCATTTCTCTCTATATTTTTTAGTTTAGTCTGCATCTAGGGTTATTTTTAGCTCTACTCTGTATCTCGCTCTGTTTCTTCGTCCTCTTCTATTCTCTCTCTACAATTTCACCTTTGCAATTCTCTCTCTCTCTCTCTCTTTCTCTCCATCGACTTCTTCTTGCAGGGGATTATCCTCGGCCTTGCCCATGGAAGAACATCAGGATCAGAACTCTGCAAATACCAGCACCAACAATCCGAACCCCGCAAATACCAGCACCAACAATCCGAAACCCGTAGATGAAATTATCCCTTCCAACGGTCCTATCAAAATAGAAGGTAATCTCTCCCTTCCACAGTTTTCCCTTATTTGGTGATCTGTTCTCTCTCTGTTTTTTTTTTTTGGATCATTTATCTCATGAAAAGTTACTTTTGCCCTATGAAATTTAAGTTATTGGTTGTTCTCTCAGATCAAGCCCTAGAGGCCAAATCAGATCGCATCAAAATTCCATTATCATGTAAAGTGGATGTCTTGAGTAGCAAACTCCAGGTACAAATTACTATCTATTACCTGCTCCTTCCTGTTACCGTGTAATATGCAATTTTATCTTGGTTCTAGTTTTTTGTTTATAGATCTTGAAGAAACAGCACATGGACCTCTCAGAAGACGCAAAGAGCATCACTCTATATTTTCCTGGAATTGAAATTTTCTCTGCGTTTCGAGATTTGGGTACTCGACCTTTTCTTTCTATCTCTTAATTTTCTTTTTGGATGCTTAAGAAATCAACTTCTCTTGTTCGTTGATTGAAATTTGATAGTACTCTCCTTTTTTTTCTTGCAGAGGTTCGTTATGATCTGATCAAGAAGAAATACATGGAAGAAAGTATCGAAAGAAAGCGTCTATATAATCAAGTTATCGAGCTCAAAGGCAATATCAGGGTATTTTGCAGATGTAGACCCCTAAATTCAGAAGAAAAATCAAGTGGGTCACCTTTGATTGTAGATTTCGACCCTTCTCAGGACTCAGAATTGCATATTGTGTCTTCTGATTCTTCAAGAAAACAGTTCAGATTTGACCATGTCTTTGGCCCTCACGACACCCAAGGTCCATTACCTCCCTCCCTCTCATTTAGAATTCATCGGTTTCTCTCTCTCAGTAAACCCCGTCTTTCTCTCTCTCTCTCTCTCTCTCTCAATTTCTTGGTTTCTGAATTTTGGTTTATTATTTGCAGAGGCGGTTTTTACACAGACCAAGCCCATTGTTATTTCAGTTTTGGATGGTTACAATGTGTGCATATTTGCATATGGTCAGACTGGCACTGGAAAAACTTTCACAATGGAAGGGACACCAGAGGACCGAGGTGTCAACTACAGGACATTGGAGGAGCTGTTTCATATTTCTAGAGAGAGAAAGGCAACCATGAAATATGATCTATCAGTGAGCATGCTTGAGGTCTATAATGAAAGGATCAGAGATCTTCTTGTAGAGAATGGAGATGCATCCAAGAAGTAATACTTTCCCCCCATTTTTACTATGTTTTCTTCTCCTTTTGGGTTTATCATTGTTGAGTTCTCTTTGTTTATGTGGAATAATTTGTGGATAAGAAAACCCATCTCTTGTATTTATTTATTTATTAATAACCCCTCTCTTGTATTTATTTATTTATTAATAAAACCCCTCTCTTGTATTGTTTTTTTTTTTTCTTTTTTGGAATAAATCCCTTGTATTGCTTTTTGCTTTACTGTTGGTTGATTTGTTTGTGTTGCTTTCATGGAGTAACAGGCTTGAGATAAAGCAAGGAGAAGGAGCACAACAAATACCAGGTTTGGTAGAAAAAGGTGTGAACGATACGGAGGAGGTTTGGGAGATATTGAAAGCAGGAGGAGAAGCCAGAGCAGTTGGCTCCACTAATGCCAATGAATTCAGCAGTCGCTCTCACTGGTCTTTCTCTCTCTCTCTCCTTTTCTTTTCCTTTAACATTTTTCTCCGTAACATTTCTTAATCTGTGGATTGTGCAGTTTGGTTCGAGTAAGCGTGAGGTCAGAGAACCTAGTGGGCGGAGAGGTGACAAAGAGCTATCTTTGGCTGGTGGACTTGGCCGGGAGTGAGCGCCTGGGCAAGACTGATGTTCAGGGAGAGAGGCTCAAGGAGTCTCAATGCATCAACAAGTCCCTCTCGGCACTCGGAGATGTCATCTCTGCTCTCGCCTCTAAGTCCTCTCATGTTCCATACAGGTCTCACTCGCTCTCTTACCTTGCTCTCAAATCGTTTCATATAGTTTAGTTTGTTTCTGCTCTTTCTCAACCTTGCTCTCAAATGGTTTCATATGGTTTAGTTTGTTTCTGCTCTCTCTCAACCTTGCTCTCAAATGGTTTCATATAGTTACTAGTTTGTTTCTGTCCCAACAGGAATTCAAAGCTGACACATTTGCTGCAGAGCTCACTCGGTAAGTTAGTTTTCTTCTATAATTGAGGTTAGTAGATGTGTGTTTGAGAGAGAGAGAGAGAGAGAGAGAGAGAGAGAAGAGCTTCTGAAGTTTTACATAAATACACATTATAACATTATCGGAAGAGAAGGGTTTCTATCGAAAAAAAAAAAAACATTATCATAAGGGCTTCTGAATTTTTACATAAGTACACATTATAACATTATCACTTTCCAATTCCCAATTTTTATTGGTTATATTTTTGCAGATAGACTCAGTATTACTTTCAATTTTAACATGGTTTTGTGCTTGATCACTAAGCACTCGCAGCATGTGTACCGAAATTCATCATTTCTGTGCAGGGGGAGATTCCAAAACACTAATGTTTGTGCAGATAAGCCCAACTGCAGCAGATATGGGAGAGACACTCTGTTCTCTAAATTTTGCAACAAGAGTTCGTGGAATTGAGACTGGTCCTGCTCGAAAACAATCCGACCCAATCGAATTCTTCAAGTATAAACAGATGGTATGGTGTCTTCATGTATGATTTTCTTATTTATCTTTATTTTGTTGGGTGGGGATTGTGGGGGGGGGGGGAGGAGAGAGAGATTGAGAGATTCTCATTTTTAATATTCTCTATGGTTTTGCAATCATAGGCTGAGAAACTGAGACATGATGAGAAAGAAACAAGGAAAATGCAGGAAAGTTTGGAGTCACTCCAGCTTAAGTTCAGAGCGAGAGAGCAACTTTGTAGGAACCTCCAAGATAAGGTGATGCCAAAATCCGACTCCTTAATTCGAAACGGATAAATGCTTAATTTGAAACAGATAAACAAAGAAGCAAGTAGTTATGACAAATAAAAATCTGGCCACTAATCTAGCAGCTAAATTGTCGATACAATTCAATGATTTTACAGGTCAGGGAATTGGAAAGCCAACTAACTGACGAGAGAAAAACCAGACTTCTACAGGAGAACAGAGCTTCTTCTATGGCTGCAACTAAAAGCTCAATGGAGAAACCTCCATTGTTCCCTGTTAAGAGGCCCCCACTGAGCAAACTCATAACCAACATCCCACCTCCTCAATCAAAACCGCTCATCCCCCCCAAAACACAAGCAGTCCAGAAAGAGAACATTTCTCCAATTACCAATATACCGGGGATGAGAGCACGAAGAGTCTCAATATCAACTGCCTCTTCATCAGTTATTCGCCCCCTCACCAACAAGAGAAGACGGGTCTCTTTTGCTGAAGCAATTCCTTCAATGACCCAATTCAAAATGCACCAAGAAGATGGCAAAAGCTACTTAAGAACAAGTATGGAGAAGTCTCGACTTTCTCTCTCTAGAAATCGTCGACGAATTTCAAGAATTTTTCCACCTTCTGCCATGAAAGCAGCTGCTATGACTCCTGACCGGAAGTTTAGTAACAAGTTTAGCTCGAGCCCATCTAGTAGGATTCAGGTGCCATGGGAGCCCAACTTGCTCACTGTTTCTTCACCGAGGGTGCATAGACTCTTGAGCCCAGTTAACCTAAGGAATTTGAAGAACTCTCATGCATTGAACAAGTTTTGCTCGAGCCTTAATAAAAAGGTTGTAACCACTACTGCTCTCTCCTCTCCAAGCACAACACAACACAAGATGGGGATCGGTGGAATAACAGGGAAGTTTGGTTCAGCTCAACGTGTCTTGTGCAACAATGTCCGAAGAAGAGCCAGCATTCAACCAATTACGCGATAGTTCTCTGTCCCTCTCTTATGCTTGTTTCCCTCCCATTCTTGTTTTCATTTCACATACAATGTTTTTTGTTCATGTACTCATCCATTTGTTCACTTAAATATATCATACTGCATTGCATCGGTTAATTCGAACTAGTGCATGATCATTTGGGTCTTCCTTTTTCCTTGCTGCTACCCCTCTCAATTTACAGAGTTTTACTGGGGGGCGCTCTATTTGGTATCCTCCAGCCTCTTTTTCCAAGTGGGCACAGCATGTTTGAAATGCCACGATCGAGACTTGCAGTCTGAAATCTAGAGTGAACAACAGCTCTAACTCCAATCTGTTTATTTCAGTCGTACTCACTCCTCCAACTTTGGCATAGTATGCATTATCAAAGAACCTGAAAGTTTTTGAATAAATACTAATGAAGCATCAAATGGCAAAAGCAACAGTTGTTTTAAAATGGACAGTGTAGAACACTGCAATCTCGTAAAAGTAGAGTTACATCCTTATACAAACCACACCCCTTTATAGAAGTAGGTGGACACTGAGAGAGAGAGAGAGAGAGAGAGTTGTTGAGAGTACTTACGCATCGTCAATGAATTTTGCTGCCACCATCACACTCGTTATCAAAAGCCGATGAACATTGAGGGAAGTGAGAGGCACTTCAGGTTGTTGATGAATGAACCGGTCCATGTATATGTATGCCAGGATGAAGCATGAGGGGCTACAACTTGAGTATTCGAATATGCGCTCAAGATATTGCCGGATGCACAGACTGGGTGGTCTTAACCCATCAAAAATTGTGAGCCTCTTTTGCTTCTTTGTTACATCCAAGGCTATCGCATTCTTTAGAACAGTTCCCTCGAGAACTGATGAGAGAACTGAAAGTACACGTGGGCATTCAGAGAACCCTTTTCCTAATCCATTCAGATCCAGAGATGAATAGGATTCCATGAGGAAGTCTGAGTCAGAGTCAAGTGCCAGATATTCCATATCTTCACCTATATATAGCTGGAACAAATGACTGTTGATCAAGCTAATTAGTTTGGAAGATCATTTTAAGTTCTCTCAATTTTTTAGCCATGTGAAATTAATGAAAGTTGGCTATAGAGAAACACAAATTGTAAGTGAGCAATCAGATTGGCCTGCATCAGGTTCGGCTATGAAATTCAACAAATAACCGATCTCATTGCTAACCATAACTGATCTCATTTGTAAATTTCAGAAAGGGCTTGGCTTTTTCTGGTTTGCATGAGAGAGATGTATCCCCTCATCAAACCAAGTTGACTCCCTTGGCAGAAAAGTTACACGAGCAAGTATGGTTTACACAGACAGTTCTTAGATTCAATTTTCTTTACTTCTTTTATTTATTTAATGGAACTACAGTTGTGGTATAGTATCTGCAACTTGTCTTTTAGCTTTCTCTGATTTATCTTACATTGGAATGGCATTTTCTGGATATCAATAACTAATCTTTTAGCATGCTTTCATCTATCAAAAACAATAATTTACAGAACTTTTACAATGCCCTCTTCAATATTTTATCTGTTTTACAATATCTTGGTATGGTTTATAAAAATTAACTGCATGGGTCTGTATAAAGGAAACAATAATAAAATAGGTAGTGACCATTATTTGATTTTCTTTCGTTTTTGGATGGTTAACTCTGCAATGTAATGGCCATTGCGATCAGCAATTATAGTAGTAAGAATACCAGTTTTAGGACAAATGACCACAATGACACCCCCCCTTCTCCCCCAAAAAAAAAAAAAACGCTACCACCAACAAAAAGAAAAAAAAAAAAACAACCCCAAGAAAAAAAAAATCATAATAATAATAAATTACTAAACTATCCTGCAGTTTTAAAGGTTACACGACAGAATGCCATCAATTATTTAAAAGACAAGAGGTTGATCTAATGCAGTGACATGCACTATGCAAGATCCCATTGCATGTATAGAAGAACCCTCATTCAAGTATGACATAAAGGAATAGAATCACCCATATAAACTACACAAGGAAAAAAGAAAAAAAAACTAAAGGTGAGATAGAGAATTTCCTTTATTGGAATTCATCATACACAAACATAATGGTAACAGACGCACACCCCTTCAAACTCTAGCAACAACTGAGAAGTGCAGATCCAGTCACAACCTCAAATAAGAGGTAGGTAAAAATATGTGGAAATGATAAGAAAACCAACAAAAATCTGTTTCCAAATGAAGTCCTACTCATCAGATCAAAAGCAATCCAGATGGCATTAGGGTTCTCATAAGAGAGACATGCGTTATTGTTTATAGAATACCAATTTTTTATTGAAGCGCATTGAACTCACATGGATAGGGCCGTAACCCGGTGCTGGTCCCGCCTAAGCAGGATCCTAGGAGGGTTGGGCTGGAAGCGGTCCTAACATTTGGCTAATGCACAAAGGGGCTATCACTTGGTATGGCGGTAAAAGGCTTGGGTAGCCAGCGCCCGAGCGCAGGTTCGAGTCCTGAGAGCGGCCACTTTGTACATAAGCCAAAGGTTAGGACCGTTTCCAGCCCACCGCTCCCGAGACCCTGCTAAGACAAGGCCAGCACCGGCCCTATCCATGAAATGAGTGAGAAACCCTTTTGCTCTTGTTAATCTCATTAAGTTGATGCTATATGGGTGCAAACTGAGAAAAGCTATATGGCCCTTAGCAAGTACCATTTATGCAGCTGTGGAAAGCGCAATGAAGCAAGTATATGTTAGACATTAGGACGACTAGACAAACATCGTTTATGTACTAATCCATGTTGATGAGAACATGACATTTTCACAACAAGAACTAATGTAGAATGCATCGACAAATCAAAGTTTAAGAACCAAAAACAATATTGAAGATCAGGCCATTTTAAATATTTCTTTGTTCCCAATAGATGGTTTAAAATTTTAAAGTATTTAAATGGGGTGGTCTGCCAAAATGGTTTTTCTTAAATTGGTTTAAGTATGCAATAGATCTGGGATGCTTGAGTCAAAACCCTTGGATCTTCCCATGGCCCAAAGTTCAAGAACTATCATCAAATGTGGCAGATACCCTTCTATGTAATGGGATCCTAGTTAATTTTATTATTAAAAGAACAAATCACTTTTAAGCTATTGTAGTGGTGAGCAATTTCAAGTCTGATCCTAATCCTCCTCAGCTGAACGCAATTATCGATTTCTATGATACATAAAATCAACACCTGGCAAAAGCATTTTGCTTTCCTCCTCAGAAGAAAAATCTATTTTAGGAGGGTTGTAGAAATTGATTAGCACTGATGCCTATACACAAGTTGGTATACCACATCATATTTTGTATTTAATGCCATCACTATTGACCAGGAAAATCAAGAATAAGACAATAATACATGAGTAATTGATGAAACAGAAGTATAGATCAAGGGAACTTTTATAGTAATTCGCTTATATGGGTGATTCCATTTCCAAGTGCATTCAGCACTATTCAAGATTAACAGAGGTGGAAATTGTGTGAGAACAAGAACACAAATTCAGTGAGTTATGACCAGAAAAAAGAGAGATTAATGAAGGCCTTCGTAACCTAATGCAATCTACCAACTTCTCATTTAAAGAAACACATTTCAGTGATAAAGAAAAGGAAGAAGAACAAAAGGGGTAATTGGTATTAAGCATTCGTGGAAGCATTAGGAGTCATCTAGAAGAGAGAGAGAAAAACTGCAATTTGAAAGTTGAACACAGTTTCAACTTCCAATAGAATAACAGAGAGCAGAGAAGAAAAGCTATACGATTGGAAACCAGAAACATAGACACAAGATCCAAACATTGAAAAGAGAGAGAGTAACGAGATCTAGCAGAAAAGCTTACATTTTTCAGTGAAAATGCACTCTTCCATTTGTAACCATCACATGCACAGCTGAACAAGACCAGCTTTATGCGGACATTCCTCTGAAAATAGTACAGATAAACCCCTCCTGCGATAAGGCCAACAAGTTTTTCTCTCTCTAAAATAGTGTTCAGTTTCACTCTGTCTCAACCAAAACGGTACCAAAAGCTGCTTTTTCTCTCTGAGAAATGATGCCTGGTTGCCAAGCCCCAACTCCTAACACCTCTTTCTCGCCATCTCTGCCAAGATCCCTCCCGCCTACTTTACTCTCTCTCTCTCTCTCTTCCTACTTTACCCAACACACTCTCTCTCTTCCAACTTTACCCAACACACTCTCTCTCTTCCAACTTTACCCAACACTCTCTCTCTTCCTACTTTGCCTAACGCCCTCTCTCTCTCTCCTGTTGTTGGAGTGTCGTTGCACGCCGCCGCCCGCGGCCCACACATTAACGTGGAGTGAGCGGCGCAAAAGCTTAAAGCAGCCAGATTAAATCGTTCGAAAAGGAAAATGGTTTGATACGGCTGCAGCCCTATCAAAATCAGTAAGGCCTCACCTCACAACTCATAACTCGTAACTCAAACATCGTAAAACCTTTACATCGATCGTCCTATTTGATTGTTAGGGTTATGCAAAAAATTAAGATTTCAAGCTCTAAAAATATTGTATGTAAAGCCTCACCTCATAACTCATAATTTAGACATCGTAAAACCTTTACATCGATCGTCCTATTTGATTATTAGGGTTATGAAAAAATTAAGATTTTACGCTCTAAAATATTGTATATTGTAACAAATTATTTAGACGGTTCATTTATCAATGATCCATAAAATCGGTATATTATTTGAGTTTAAAGTTTACTCCCAATATTAATAATTAATCTTAGAGCCATCAAGGAGATTTATGTGGCCTAAAGTGTAAATTAATTTTAGACCCATCATAAACATTTTTATTGCTGAAAGGGCTTTCCGAAAATTCAAAGTGAGGCTTTATTTTGTTTTCATAAAGCCTCATACTTATAAGCTTCATAAGGCCGAAAAAGCTAATATTCCCCTTCCTGGCCTTATAAGCGTTCGAAAAAACTCATATTCGCCCTTCCTAGCCTTTGGTCTTTGGATTTTAGCACTCATGAGTGAGCATACTTGGGAGAGCTTATATTCCCCTCCCTACCTCCCACTGGATTTTGCCTTTTATCGACACTCACAAAGCGACCAAATACCATCGTTGGGTGTACTATTTGGAAAATAGCAAAAAAAGAAAAAAAAATATTGTTTTCAAGACTTCATTGTTTGTGGGCTATTTCGAAAAGGAAAAAGTTTATATAAGGATGTAACCTTATCATGTAGAACTACGGATGCACCTTAAAAATCCATCGGAAAAAGTTGTTTTAATATTGAGAAACCCTTTGATAGATCATCTCGACATCGAGATGTATGACAATGAAAAATAAAAAAATTTTAAGTCTAAAAAATAGTACATTTTACAATATATTATCTACACTGGTAATTTTCAAGATTTTCATATGTTTATAGATCTACTTGATTTTAACCATTTTTTAAATTTAACATTTTATAGTTACATATAAAAATATATTTTGAGATAGTCCTATGAACATTTTATATCAAAATTATATACCATGATAAAAGTTGAAGGTGCACCTTACCTCTACAGCTATGGATGGATCCGAATGCCAACTGCACCCTTTGAAAAATAACATACAAAAATTATGTTTTCAAGACTTTTGATAACAGAAGCCTTACCTTATAAAGCTAAAATTTGAAGGTGCACCTTACCTCAAGACTTTTGATAACTAAAACCTTAAGCTTATAAAGCTAAAATTTGAAGGTTCACCTTACCTCTACAGCAACGGATACGGTGCATCTGTATGCCAACTGCACCTTTTGGAAAATAACAGAAAAAAAATTTCATTTTCAATACTTTTGATAACTGAAACACCTTTTGGAAAAACAAAAAAAATTACGTTTTCAATACCTTTTGAAGCACCTTTTGGAAAATAACAATACTTTTGATAACTGAAGCCTCAGCTTATTAAAAGCTAACTAAAACTAAAACACTTTTTGATAACTGAAGCACCTTTTGGAAAATAAAAATCCTTTTGATAACTGAAGCCTTAGCTTATTAAAAAGCTAACTAAAAACTAAAGGACAATTGGGATTCGCCCACCGTGGGGCTCGAACCCACGACCACAAGGTTAAGAGCCTTGCGCTCTACCAACTGAGCTAGACGGGCTAATTGCACATTGTGGGTTCTGTTGTAAAATTAATTAATCTATTACGCAATCACCTCTCCCACTGGCCCCCCAGGCACAGCAGCCACCCACCCGTCGCCGTGGGCAAGCCCACATCACCTCTCCATCTCTCCCACACCTCTCTCCATTCTCACATCATCTCTTTTTTTTATATTTTCCTTTTAAATACCATATGTTATTTCAAAATAATATTTTTTTTATATTTTAATACATTAGAAATGATATTTTGTAACATATCGGTGCATGAGGTACCTGATCACGTGTGTCTATTAGGCTCATCGCTAGTATACTATTTTAGCACTATGGGTAGAGAAACTGGGCTATGGGCAAAGACACTAGTGGTTCAAGGGGCAGGGCCGCCCTGGCCACCCGGCTCTTTTCTATGCAATTTAAGGCCGTGGTTGATAGATGTAGCAGTAAATAGGCCACCATGGTGCTTACTGTATTAATTCATACTCCAGAATTAAGTCAAACTTCCTTGCCAAAAAATAGTGCTATATCCCTTTCATATTTCCCCTGTAATCTATCCGGAGTAGGCTCGTGCTTGTTGTGCAAGCAAACACCAGCTTATTGAAAAGGTTCATGTTTTATCAATATCTTTTATGGATAGTTCATCAGGGACGGGGTTCCCACCTGTAGTAGGAACATAACTCAAATATGTCACATTGTGGTGTCCCATCACCTTAACCACCTAACTTTCTGCCCATTCGGCTATTCCTGATGAAAACAGGCCAAAGGCTTGTTAATGTTCGCACTGTCGGTGCCAAATTGGTAATTTTTTAGTGGTTGGTAAAGGAACAACAAAATAGTATATCAAAGGCATGGTCGTGGGACTCAATGCCAGTTTGGCATAATGGTGACAGCACAACAAGCCCTTTGTCAATATGTTATTGCCAAAGGGGGAATTTAGCAATATACACCTAAAAGTTAGGGATAGTAATGGGTTGTACATGGGTTGGGTCTGAGTCCAATCTGGCTAAACCTGGACCCAGACCCGAATGTATTCAGGTCAAAGTTTTGGACCCGAACCCGATTTGTCGGGTCCAAAAGTTGGACCCATACCCGTACCCGTCGGGCCGCAGGTGTATCCCATCGGGTCCCGGGTCTGGTCAGGTCCATTGCTACCCTCACTATGTGCCTCTTTTTTGTAGTCTACAATGGTGAAAAATAGAGAACTGATTTTTGAGGAGTGGGCGATTCAAGAATGAGAGAGAGAGAGACATTCGAGATCCAAAGAGAGCGCTATGTCTCCAAGAAATTGAGAGAGGGAGGATGACGATGGGGTTTGGTCGTTTGGGGAACCAAGAGAAGGCAAAAAGTATTGAAATGATTTTAGGTTGGCACTTTAGCCTTTGGGTAAACTAAAATTTCTAGCAGGATCCGTACCTGAACTCGGGACTATCCGGATATCCTTTATTGGACCCAGACCTACCCGTGGGTAAAACTTGGACCCATACTTGGACTCATGTCGGGTATTCTCGCCAGGTATGGGTCGGGTTCGGGTGCATTGCCACCCCTACTGAAAGTATAATTTTTTGACATTTTCCCTAAATGTAATGTGATAAATTTAAAAAATTGATGTGTCATTTGATGGGATATATAAAATTTAATCAAAAGAATGATGGGTTGTTTAAATATGATATATAATATATATATTGGGTTTTGTGAGGTTATACTACTTAGTGGTGTATACCCTTAAAGTTCTTAACGTTTTTAAACACTTAGATACTCTTATCCTATAGTGTAGTAACTTTTTATTTAGGGGTATTTTAAGTAATTAGTCAAGAGTAAAGTAAAAATTCCTAATATAAACAAAATCATTTATTAATATAGTGGACAATGACGTCATCGATGTGGTGAGTGACATCACTCTCAAGATACTTAATTGTTTTTTAATTACTAATAGAATGTTACTATTTCCTTATAGAAATATATATCTTACCCTTTTAAATAACCAAAAATGTCATTACTTGAAAAAATTTGTATTACAATTCAAGGGTATCTACATGTCCAATACTGTTGAGGACTTTAAGGGTATATACGATCAAGTGGTGTAGTATACCAAAACCCTATATATATAAATATAAGTAAGACACGAAATAGTTCAAATCTTAAGTATAAATTGATGAATTTTTATAATGATAATGTCTGCATGGATGGATCCACCTAGAAAATTTACATCAATACCACTCAAGGCACTTTTAAAGCTTTAAGGACAATCACAAATGGAACATCCTTTGTTCCATCAAGCTTGAAAGATGGATTTACAAACTGGAATATCACTTGTAAAGGACAGTTAGATACATCAAAATCGATCTTAAGAGATATACAATGAGGCTCTACCCCCTAACCATCCTAAGTTTAACCACAAAAACTCAACTATGAAAGGCCTGATAAGCACAGTAAATAGGAATCTCCAAGGAAGCTCTCTCTACAAAAGGATAAAGTTTGGGTGTGGCAGTCAAAGCATCGGTAATATGCAGTCCGCTTCCAAAATCTTTTTCAGACGTAGACCGAGATGGATTTAGGTCCCACATTTTAATAGGTTAATAGTCTAAATTATATATCAAAAGAAAAAAAGAACCAAAAAACAATATTGTAACTATAATTTGAGAGAGAATCTCAATCATTGTGATCACGAATTTTACAAAGGAAAAAGTTTATATAAGGATGCTACCTTATAATGTAGAATTACGAATGCCCCAAAAAATTTCATTAGAAAAGGTAGTTTTATTGTTGAAAAACCTTTGGATTGATCATCTCGACATCGAGATGTATGAAAAATAAAAAGA